TTCTATTTTGTTCGCCATATTTACGCTTTATAACGCTGTGTGAAGGCCCAAGCATAACCTACGAATCTCTGTTTTAATTTCATTTCTACTTGTATATTTTTCATCTGTTTTTTTTTTTTTTTTTTTTTTTCAGATCTAGTTTTTTATCATCAAAAATTGCGTTTTAAAAATGGTTGGAAATTCCATTCTCTAATTAGAATGGAAAACCCATCTATTTTTATATAATTTTTTCTTAATTTAAAATTCCTATTTATATATTCTTACAGGTTAATTAATTACTTATTGTACATTTAATAACTATCATTCAAAATACTTCTTTGGAGAAAAATTATTTAAATGCATTGGGTCACACGAATAATTCTAAATAACGTAAAAGGGGAGATATATTGTTAAATACTGTGGTAGTTGCTATTTCTTTAGTAGATTGGTAGATCTTTAATTCAAAGCGTTCAAATACCTAAATACTTAAATGTAAAACGTAATAGTTCTTTTCAGATTGATCTATTTATATATTTTTTATTTACAAAAGTTTCGGTTTCATATTTTTGGGAGTAATGGGATTCACAATTTTAGTCTGTATAGTAACTTTTGAAACCAATCAATTTTAATAGGTTATATTCAATAACGTTATATCTCGTGTGTTTAAAACGATAGATAGCTATCGTTGTGCAAATTTTTCATGTTAAAAGTCAACTTCTTTCTATAGCTGTAGTATTAGACACACGCTGACATCTTTAACATTTATGCTGAATTAAAATCTTCATAATAAAGTGTTTTTATTGTAATTATCTACATGTACATGTTTCGCATTTCGCTTTGGTTCATGTGTTCAGATAAGAAATGTGGATAAGAATAGCAAAAAATACAATGTTCTATTTCATCTCTCAGTGTATTTCTTAATTATCTTTTGAATATGTTTCCTGTTTTAAGTGCTTGAGGTGATCTATGCAAGAAATTAAAATTGAAACCCTTTACATCATGAGTATATTGTGAAAAATGGCCGCTTTCAATGAAAGTTCAAACTGCTATAAAACTATGAAAAATGCTTCAATATTGATGAAACTTGGCCCAAATGTTGACTGGACCATAGCCTCTGTAACAACATGCTCAATCTTAAATTTCCTGTTACCCTAACAACTGGGGGCGTCTCAAAATTGCCAAAAAAACACTATTTTGCTTAGTTTTTTCCCATCAAAGCTAATTTCAAAGTAATGCAACTTTTCAATGGATTGGGAGAGAGGAAAAGGTTTTTCAGCGTTGGTTACACGTTACCTTACGATCGACCTGAGGCCATCTATAGCCTGTCACATTTCCAAAATTTTCTTGTCGATGAGGTGGGCTGCCGCCTCGTTCAAACCCCCCGAAACAGTAGGGGGCACATCCCCCTTCTGGCAACCCCTTGATGTACCGTTTTTATAGGGGGCGGCGCCGAAAAAGTGATCCCTTTTTTATCAACATTTCTCAAACGAAAAACAGTGTTTGGGGCCTAAATAGGGATTTTTTTCACTGTTTGAGGCCTCAAAAAAGTGTGGGTTGGTGTGAAAAGCCGTCAAAACACGTATATATGAGGTAAAGGGTTAACAAAAAATGATGAAAAGTCTGGGAATAACCCAAAATCTAGTTTTTCCATTTTATCACGCGGCCTTTCATCTAAACTTGGTGAAAAATTGTTGCTTTGTGGCATTCTTTATTTTTTTAATTAAGACCTCATAGGAGTTCCTTTAATACTTTTAGCATATGTTTTGTATGTTTCATATTTAACAAACATGTTAACCCATTTACATTGTATATTATATCATCAGTCCATGATCATCAGTCTCATTATTATCGACAGGACATCACAGTCTTCATTACTACTCCTCATCATCACCATCAATATAATTATCAGAACATTAACGTTATTATCATCAGTAAATATTCGTTATAATATTAATCGTTATCAGAACATCATTATCACAATCATTATAAGTATATCATCATTATTTTCAATAAGTCATCATATTTAATACTTTATCGTCATCTTTGCAATTCATCATCATCATTATCAAATCATAATTATAACTGTCTCCATCATCATCATCATCATAATCATCATCATCAACATCATCACCATCATCATCATCATTTAATTATCATCATCTTCTTGTATTCTTGCATATATGCATCAAGTCTTGTCTTAACCACGTTTGTATATGTGATATATGAAATAAATATGTCAAATATTACAAACGATCATCTCTAAATCTATAATCACCATATTTACTGTCACTGATGGTGATGATGTTTGTCATAATTATGACGACGACGATGTTATAATGTGTATATTGACTGTAAAGATGATAATGATATATCATTCAGCTAATTGTTTGTTCATTGCAAGGCTTAGAAAACCGAATACAGTTAAAATATTACAATATATAGGACAGTGACAAAGAGATGAGTAAGTGCAAATCGTGTGTCCAAAATGATCAAACCTGACGGAAATAATTACATGTATATTTGCCATTAAACATTTGCCATTGTTTGTGAAAGAACACGTTGCACTTATTTATGTAAATTAATGTAAACAGGTTTTTCGGGGAAGAGTTATTTAATTGTAACAAACCTATATAAAGGGAAGATTTATTCGTTTTAATTCATTTTTTGTTTTTTGTTGAAAAATGAAGTCTCGAGTTTTTGATTGATAAATAATAGCACCGCGACTACTTTCTATAATTAATCATGCCGATCTTTTAATCTTAATGACAGATGATTTGTCTGAAATTGTCATTATTCTGAACGAGCTTCTTGTTATTGAAATTCAGTTTTTCTAGAAATTACCTCTTGGATCTCAAATCGTTCATAGAAATTTCTGTAATTTTAAAGAAACTCCACCCACTGAGGTTCAATAGCCTAAAATGGTGTAAGCTGAATTTCTTACATAAATAAAACTACGGAAGCCCTGGGGACATTCAGAATTTAAAAATTATTATCTATTATCTATAACTTATGACTTATTATTTACAGATTTGACTTATTTTTTACATATTATCTCTTATATTCTATTGTACCGCCAAACAATTTCATAGTAAAATGATGTTGTTTTTATACCTAACGTTTATGATGTAATTTCAGTTTTAACAAAGAAAGACTTTATTATTTACATAAACATATACATGAATATTTTATATTAAAGTACATATGTATATAAATGTTCAAAAACAAAATATTACATAGCGGTTTTTAGTGAAGTGTAGCAGTGATTTCTTGCAGGTAACAAATTCTTTCAAAGATATATTCACACTTATTTCTAATTATAAGTAAGTATGTATATTCTTTATTTACACTTTTCAAAATTCTAGCAATAATTTTGCCAAATACAGAAAACAAATACACAGCTTTATACACCTTTAATAATAAGTCTTAATCAAATTAATCTTGAAAAATTATTTCCAGTCGCGCCATGTCAACAAAACCCAGTGGAGTCCTTTTAAACTCCATCCTGGAGTTTTAATTTGAAAAAAGAATCAGCTTGCTTGTTTAGCCAGCAAACTCTGAGATGGATATTCATTAAAAAGGAATAATACTTGGTGACATCATGCTTGCATCAAACAATTATAGAAAAAAAACACGGTTTATAGCTTTGACGAAATCCAAAACCTTTATGCCATAGCCCAATAAAACACCAACTCAAAAAAATGCATACCAAAAGTATGGAAAATAAAACTTTAATCTGAAGGGATTCAATATATACAAAGTAAATAACTACCTTATTGATAAAACATTTTGCCAAATAATGAAATTACATAAAACTCTTTAAATATTACATGATTGAGTCAAGGTTATGGGAGTTTTGCAACACAACATCAAAATCTAATGTTAATTTATTTTGGGAATGATGTGAAGTTCAAACATTTTAATTTTAATCAGATATTTTTACAAGCAAAATATTCTAATGCGTGTTGGCCTGGTAATTGTTGTATTTTTTGTTCTATAGTATATTAGTCACGATTGATTCGTAATTCTGAATTCCACTGTTCTTGATGAATTATATTCTGTCTTCAACTTAAAACATCAACACTATCTAAGTCAAATCTAAGTCAAATGAGACTCGAAATATAACACGTAAGCCATCTACTTTTTTCAGAAATCTTCATTCTGTTGTAACACTGTTTAAATTCACCACTTTGAAAATTCCTGACTACTGGTGGGTAGTACTTTTTTAACCCCTCCGCCATCAAATGAGTTCCTAGAAAATGCACAAAAACATCTTTTAATGTCATCCTATAACATACAAAAACTACACACTAAAAATTCCTTTTAATTATGACCAATAAAACTAGAGAAAAAACGAAACCTTGGTATCATACGAAACTCTTAGTCTGTACAAAATATTATTAAATCAAACTGCATTAATTAAATCTTTCTCTTAAAAAACATTTCTTCTTTAAAAATAAAACAAGACAGCGGTCACAAATTTCGATGAAATTTTAAGTTACCTTCAATACAAACTTAGTTTAGAAAGACTCATTGCTGAAATGAAATAATCTCGATGTACATAACAGCAAGAGGAGCATATTCATGTCAAGAAACACACGTATACTGACATCAGTCTATTTAGTATTATTTTCCCATTCTATTTAATCGCTTCTTTTTTCATATATGAAAGCATATCATTATATAAATCCATCCAAAACATATATCATGCTCTTTAGATTACCTTTCCACTTAAACAATCTTTATTTGCATAATATTAAATCAGTTTAACTTTACTCATTCTCTATCAAATATTTTTTCTGATGTAACCATTGTTTATTGCTACTATTAAAATGCATAGAAATCTGAAATATGTTTGTAAATTTGTAAAAATGTATTTACTTACATTTATACGAACTGGAAAATAAATAAAAATTAAAACAAAACAAAAAATATTATAGGCAACATTTATCAGTTTTGACGCTTGTATCCCTCATCGTAAATCTATTCTGTAGCATGGTTTTGTTGCTAGAACCGGTTTAAATAGCAACTTATGGGAATTCCTTCCGCCTGCTGAAGAAAGATTGTCGACCGTTGCCTCCTGGATTTGTTACTCAGCTGTACAATAATGTATAATGTATAATCACCTAATGCCTAAAAATAAAATAAAACGAAATTAAAAAGAAATTATCAGAAATTTATCTCACATACACGTTATTGTCAGTCTTGCAGTCAAAAGTGCGTGTTCTCACCTTACGAAACATCTAGTTCTTAAATTTAAGACCTAACTTCTAAGGTTTAAGATCGAACATTAAGTTCGAATCGTTGCCTTCTTACTTTAAACACAAAACGGTCTTAATCGGATTCCGCAGTTTTCTAACTATTGTGTCCGGAGTTGGACGGAAATGGTCGAGAAGATGTGATTGACTATTGTGTTCCACGTTCTTATCCGAAGTTTCACGGAAAGAGCCGAATGGCGTGTATGTGTATAAAACATAATAGTAAAGTAGTTAACAGGAGTGCCTTATAACTGTAAAGATATGTAATCAACATAAAAAGGTATGTATTTATATTTTTCTAAATTTGATATTGAATTACGCAATCATTAGTCTTAGAAGTATTTTTAAGTGTTATTAAAATTGTAAAATAGATTGAATCCTAAATTCTATATCAATATCATGAAAATATATACATGCTATAACAATGTGTATTTATATTTTTCATTATATAATTACAACCTTCACGAATGCGTTAGTCCTTAAATAGATATATAACAATGTTATTGTACATAAAAAAGATGTTTTTTAAGTTGAACTAACTATTGAGGTTATTTGTTCCCTTACAAATAAATTACATGTATATTAATTGCAGTTACTGGGCCAAAATTAAGAAAATGTGCCCCCTTAACGCATAAGTAACATGTACAATTGCAGAATGTGGTTTGCTCAGTAAGCTTGACCTATAAAATTCTGTCTATTTGCCCATTTGTTTCCGTTTTCCGGTAAAACCGTAAATCTATTATTAGTCATTGATGTGTCACTACAAATACTTTAAATAGATTACATTGCGCTAAATAACTTTAAACATATAATTAGATTTTTAAATTTAAAATCTACCTTACCATGATAAAAACACTGAGGCTAGTTAATCCACATCGTTAAATATATATTCATTTTTTAATTATCAATATTTGTAATATTTCCTGTATTATCAATTTTGTTACACACACTACCAATATACATTATTATCTGCATTTAAACTGTATAGAAATAAAAATTTGAGCTTAATAGTATAAAACTGTTTTTTAACGTATATTGATAGTGTTTTCAGCATTTGTAGTTTCGTTGCTTTTGATTATTTTTCAATCACTAATTCAATCCTTACGATGAAATCGTATGACGATATTATTTTCAATTCTACGAACCGCGAGTATTTCTCGAAATAGCTATTCATAGTATCGCGTACTTACCAGATCAGCTAAAATTAGAAAGAAAATCATTATTAACTGCGTAATAGTATACGTGAAGTTTAAAATACGGAACACCTGCAAATGTTTGGCCCGTTTTATAATAGCTTTTTTTGTAACTTTCCCGATTCTGATGTTTTTCATGGCCGCCTTTTTTTGAATGACTTTCCCACCTGTTATCAGTCAATTGACATAACCTATGCACCATATTTTCTGCATCTATCCTCACTCACACCATATCTAACGGGTCAGAAATAAACCCCTTTCTGTATCTACCCTTGAATTATTATTTCTAGCTTGTTAGAGACAGAGCCAATCCCTCAAAAGATAACATGTGAAAGACGTGAAAGTAACAAACTCATATAGTAGACATTAGGTTAATCATAAGACGTAATTCATGCCTTACAAAAAACAGACTTTGCATATGACCTTTTCGACCTTGTGTTGGAGCATTTCACACCCGTGGCGCAAATATAACTAGAAAATTCTTATATTAAAGCTGAATAAATTATATTAAAACTCACAAAATATTGAACACTCATTTGATTAATACATATTTTAGTATCCTTAGCGTCCATTTTGACTTGACCTGTTTAAGATCAATGTCAACTTTTCTTTTCAGTCCTGTTAATAAGTCGTTCCGACACAAGATCAACTTTAAAGAATGATTTCTTAATGAGACAACAATATTATGAAATGTCATATGTTTTTTTAAATTAAGTTATTCTGTTTAAATGTAAACTGTAAACTTTAAACGTTACTATTATGTTTTACAATCAATATTAAGTAGTTTGTTCATTGACCAATATTTGCCGTATTGCATCAAAGATGTTAAAAACATGATGTAAAAAGCCCTGAATTCCAAAAAATAAAACAGCTCTGCTTGTAAAGTTTCGTTTTCAACGTGAACTAAATACTTTAATTCATACCGTTTTTGGTATACTGAAAAAATGACTTTTTGAAGTTTCAAAGAACAACTTGAAACATTATCATTTCAATAAGAAATGGTACTAGATTTATTCCAACATTATTAAAACTCGTTTGCAGCTCGTACCGTTAAATGCTATTTAATGTCCACTGCAACATCTCCTGCACTTTTGGAACCAAAACTTAATACCACCATATGAACCACGAGACAAACTTGGTGGGGGTAGGATAAGACTTAATGTAATTTCATTCCCCAAAACATCGATAGGGTGGTGGTGCAAGTAACAATTGCATGGTGCATTGTTTGAGTTCAAAACCGTTCATTGTTCATAAGCTTGTCTTAACAGTCGAAATAACATGTTATTATCTCTTTTATTGTATAGGTCTTTTGTAAGCTACTAAAACTAGTTTGTTTGCGTTTTAACGTGAAATTTTTTTTTCTCTAAAGGAAGACCCGATTGAGCTAAATATCTACGTTCCAAAGTGATACTAAACGTTCGCCTAAGAACCCTTAAATAAGGATAAAGATGTCTCTTCCAGCTCCTGCATTAATGTCATCTCAGATGAATATACGTCAGGATATATTCCAGGAGCTTGTGAAAAACGAGTTGTTTCGGGTTTCCACTTTCCGAACATTCCCAAAAGACAATAAACCATATATAATTAGATTAGCACAGGCAGGATTCTATAGTACATGCAACGGTGATGAGGTTGAATGCCACAGTTGTTTGCTCAGAATATATAACTGGAGTAGTGATGATGATCCAATGGAAATCCATCTGTCGTCAAGTCCTTCTTGTCAGTTTTTACGAAGGTCGTTAGGGTCACACCAACGATGTATAAACCAAACACAATCTGACAATTCATTACAACTAAGAAATGGAAATCAAAACAACATCATTCCAGGGCAAAACTTAAATCCTGGACTTGGTAATAAAGATTTTCTTTCATTAAGAAATATCATTTTAAATGCTATGTTAATTTGTGTGTTAGAGTTCAAGTCACACCGACATTTATACTTTCAATTTGAAAGAATTTCATAGAAAATAAGTTAATAATCACTGAAGTTTCATATCTTTATGCAAAACCAGTTTTTAACCACCTAAAGGGTCACCAGATTGATCACTTGTTCAAATATTATAGGTTAATCTTCATTAAACTTACAATTTCTGTGTCCATGAAATATTTATTGGTCAGTTAAAATAATGATCATCTCGGGTAAAAACTATGGCATGGCGTCAAATGAAAGGGAAGCTCAGGTCAAAGTTGTTTTTTTACCTTTTTGACAACAATAAAATTTGATAACCTAGGGTCAAATCTAAAATGCCAAAGTGGACGTATAATAATAATAATAATAATAATAATGATAATAATGAATAATAATAAAATAATGATAATAAATCTTTATCTTGAGGGAAAACATACAAAGTTACACAGTAAGAAGTATACTTATTTTCCGTAAATGGTTTTTGACCTCTTCTTTTTAACAATACAAAGAAAACTTGATCAACAAAATCTAAAATCTTTTTGTACAAAAATATATATATTGACGTAATGAAATTACTGTGTACTTTAAGACCAAATAAAGAAGTGAGTATTTAATTCAAAAGCTGTTTTGTCTACATTTCTGAACAGAGCCTCTAACTCAGAACCTTAACTGTTTTGGTTTCCCTTTACATCGTCCGCAATTACAAAATTTACCCAAGTTAAAAAATCGATTGAAATACTCATATGTCCTACCAGTGGTATACGACTGAGCTGAAAATCTTTTCTTTCACTTACTAATGGTCTTTATCATTATTTTGAAATCAAACAATTTTGAAAATTATTTATGAGAGTTAGACTTTTTCCAATCTTATTATATAATCGGAATAAAGAATAAAACTTTTGACACATTTTATTACAGAACCACAGAATCAGGGTAACAGTAACTCCATCGAATACGCAGCAGCTCTGTACGCAGAAAATCAAAGAATTATAGACCGCCACTACTGTATAAACTGTAAAGAACAGCTCCGCAGCGTTGTTTTCATCAGTTGCCAATACCCGCACCTTTTAGCTTGCAACGTCTGTGCCATGCATTATGACAGATGTCCCGTTTGCAACACAATTATCAAAGCCTTGTTGTATCTGCCGCGGTGAAATGTTCGTTCTAAAGTGTAAAATAGGTAAGAATTACGATAGTATCTGAATTATTTATTAGTATTGAGGTACTCATTCTATTTGATAGAAAAAGTTACATTGCAATTAATCTTTAAAAAATCATATACAACTGTAATACAATATCAATAATGGTATAAGTATGTTTTAAGTAGGCTGTCCCAATATCATATACATCAATCACTGTCCTAACATAGAGAATGCAATAATCAAAAATTGTACTTTCTTAAGTAAAATCTTGTTGTAGTATATAGAGGATATTGAATGAGTGTAAGTTCAATACTGAATTTATTGCACGAGTTGAATAAAATTATATTATGCGAGCCTCTGGCGAGCCTCAACGAGTGCAATAACTTACACGAATTTAAAATTATATTTATCACATACACAAAATAAAGATCGTTTGAAGTGAAATAAGAGTCATTTTTCATTGACGCGCCTATAGTATAACGCTAACATTTAGCGCGTCTTTACACTTAGTTTGTATAACGCTAATGACGTCACGTCAAAATATATGCACAGTCGTGCAATACCATATTTACGGAGTCGCAAAATCGGCACGGGTGTGTGATAAATTCACATCACTTTATCGTTGTTGCATGGATCGGTTATTTAAATAGCTACCGACGTCTGCATTGTCAAAATTTTATTCATTAAAAACAAGTAATATCATTGATTGATTTTTAATTAGCATGCTTTTCTATCTTACAGGAAACGAATTTGATAAAATTGTCATGTGCATTTTTATACTCTCTTTGTTGAATCACAAAAAAATAACATTTTTGATAAATAAACAATGTAAAAAAAGAATATTATTTTTTAAAAGGTAAAATACTTTTCTTAAATTTTTGAAATATAATGCTTTGTAACCCAACAACTCAACAATGATATCACAAACATTTCTTATTATTAATGTCTTATATGTCCATGATTGCATAATGATCCATAATTCGGACATGTTATTTAAATTGCTTAAATTAGCTCTTGATAAACGCATATAAACTAGTCACATAATAAATGATGTAGTCAAATCAATACGAGCCAACAAAGTTGTATGATTGTTAGGTTATGTATCTATTAACTGTCAAATTTATGATTGGTTTTGTTCCATGCTTATACTATTTAGTTGAAATAGCGCTTTTGTTCGTGTTATTTATGTTGTTGTTTGTTTTCTTGCTGCGTAAATATGTGAAATGCATTTTTTGACAAATCAAAATACGCTTTTCATTTCATACATTTTTCATTTACATAAGTTCATTTATATATTAGATACGTTTATGTATTTATAAACTTTTTTCTTTTACAGTACAAATATATTTATATTGATGTGTCCATGTAGTATAATTCAGTCTTACAGGTTATATCGATATATTTTGCCATAAAAAATGTGATTTCAAGAATAAAGTGCTCACAATTTTATTTTTAATTTTTGACTTTTCCTGCCATGAATAGTAATTTTGTAATTTCTAAATAAAGCCAACATAATTTATAACTACATATCTATCACAAAATTCAACTCATTTTCATCTGCATGTGATAATAGTGCGAGTGTTGTTGTTCTGTGGGCGCCTGTGTGTATTTGTGTTGTTGTTGTTGTTGTTTTTATCATTATTTTTATTTATTTATTTGCTGTTTTTTTATCTTTTAGAGGAGGGTGTTGTTTTTGTTGTTGTTGTTTTTTCTCTTTGTTTTTGTTTTGCGGGAGGGTGGCGGGGGCAAAATATAACAGCTGTAGTTAAAGTTATAACACATTAACTTCATGAAGTTAAAAAATCATATGTCCTACCAGCGGTATACGATTTAGCTGAAAATGTTTTCTTTCACTTTCCAATGATCTTTTTAATTACATGTATTTTGAAATCAAACATTTTTGAATATTATTTACGAGAGTTAGAATATTTCCAATCTTATTATATAATCGGAATAAAGAATAAAACTTTTGACACATTCTCTTTCAGAACCACAGAATCAGGGTAACATTAACTCCATCGAATACGCAGCAGCTCTGTACGCAGAAAATCAAAGAATTATAGACCGCCACTACTGTATAAACTGTAAAGAACAGCCCCGCAGCGTTGTTTTCATCAGTTGCCAATACCCGCACCTTTTAACTTGCAACGTCTGTGCCATGCATTATGACAGATGTCCCGTTTGCAACACAATTATCAAAGCCCTGTTGTATCTGCCGCGGTGAAATGTTCGTTTTAAAGTGTTAAATAGGTAAGAATTACGATAGGATCTGAATTATTCATATTATTGAGGTAATCATTCTATTTGATAGAAAAAGGTACATTGCAATAAATCTTTAAAAAATCATATAATCAAATATCAATAATGGTATCAGTATGTTTTAAGTAGGCTGTCTCCAATTTTATATGCATTAATCACTGTTCTAACATAGAGGACGCAATAATCAAAAATTGTACTTTCTTAAGTAAAATCTTGTTGTAGTATATAGAGGATATTGAATGAGTGTAAGTTCAATACTTAATTTATTGCACGAGTTGAATAAAATTATATTATGCGAGCCTCTGGCGAGTCTCAACGAGTGCAATAACTTACACGAATTTAATATTATATTTATCACATACACAAAATAAAGATCGTTTGAAGTGAAATAAGAGTCATTTTTCATTGACGCGCCTATAGTATAACGCTAACATTTAGCGCGTCTTTACACTACGTTTGTCAAACTCCTCACAGTGATTACTTCCCTTGGCAGAATTGTAATCATTGCCTTCACAGACGTCACATGGTGATGAAAGTCACATGACGTAACGTCGAAATTCAAATGTAAATATCGACCGTTACATAGAAAATCTAACGTCATTTTTCTCTTTCTGTTTTACTTTTAACTTTTTGTACCTACGTCCGTTATACTTTATCAAAAAATTATCAAAAGTATACAAAATAATGAAAAATAAATTAAAAAGCTAAAAAATATAAATATCCAAATATTGATATTTCAATGTTTGTGATGGCAGAGATCTCTGTACCGATAAGGGGAGATCACTGCGTAGGAGATTGTACGTTTGTATAACGCTAATGACGTCACGTCAAAATATATGCACGGCCGTGCAATACCATATTTACGGAGTCGCAAAATCGGCACGAGTGTGTGATAAATTCACATCACTTTATCGTTGTTGCATGGATCGGTTATTTAAATAGCTACCGACGTCTGCATTGTCAAAATTTTATTCATTAAAAACAAGTAATATCATTGACTGTTTTTTAATTAGCATGCTTTTCTATCTTACAAGAAACGAATTGTTATAAAATTGTCATGTTCATTTTTATACTCTCTTTGTTGAATCACAAAAAATAACGTTTTTGATAAATAAACAATGTAAAAAAAAGAATATTATTTTTTAAAAGGTAAAATACTTTTCTTAAATTTTTGAAATATAATGCTTTGTAACCCAACAACTAAACAATGATATCACAACATTTTTTATTATTAATGTCTTACATGTCCATGATTGCATAATGATCCATATTTCGGACATGTTATTTAAATTGCTTAAAATAGCTCTTGATAAACGCATATAAACTAGTCACATAATAAATGATGTAGTCAAATCAATACGAGCCAACAAAGTTGTATGATTGTTAGGTTATGATAGATAGATAGTTTATTCATATAAGACGTGTACAAAATGCACATGGTCACAAAATACATACATTCAAATATAATTAAACATCACGTAATCATCAAAGTTAACATTATTTAGTAGCAAATTGTCATACAATGATAAAACTACATCTTTGGACTGCATTAACAAAACATGGAGAATGAAAAGAAATAAGGTAATATTACTAACAAGATAACATTTTTATAATTATGTCTGAAGATTCGGGTGATTTAAATCCCTGCGTTTAAATGCTTGTGCTATAAAATTTCCCAAATTTAACAAGACTTTTTTCTTTTTAGAACTTAATAAATCAATAAATTTGTACATGCTCGGATTTTTCACATAATATTTTGGTATGAATTTGTTTCTCAGGTCAGAATATTTTTTGCATGTGATTATAAAATGAAATTCATCTTCTATGTCATTATCGCAGAAATAACATAATCTTTCATTTCTTGGTTTTCGATTACGCCCATGTCTAAGAGATTCTATAAATAAATTATGCGACGACACGCGCAATCTAGTTATGCTATTACGTATTTTAAACGAATCTATTTTAATCAAGTAATCCGATATACCAAAGCTCGGTTTTAAATGTATGTACAAGGATTTCAGTATTTCATTTTTCTCAATATCTCCAAATAGTTTCTGTAAGGCACAATCCGTTACTGTTTTCTTGAACAAATTTACAAATAATTTGAAATTTATGTTTTCATGATTTACAAAAACAGAGCTAAAACCATAATCATCAAGCAGTTTTTTAACATGGAAAACCCAATTCTTTCTACCATTATAATACTGCGCCAATGAATGTGCATAAACTGATTTTAATAGCATATTATCCGTATTGATAATCTTGACCCAGTATTTAATAATATGTACGAAACGTAATACATATAAAGGATAGCGACCCAATTCTGCATATATAGCTGCGTTACTTGTCGATTGTTTTACACCAAGGATTGTTTTGCAAAACTGTAGATGAATACGCTCTAATTCAAAAGACTTAGTAAACCCCCAAATAGGACAACCATAATTTAATATCGATCCTACGAATGCATCAAAAAGTTGCAATGAAATATCCGGACGAATGTTATATCTTTTGATATTATTTAACAATGTGTGCATCGCCCTAAGTGCTTTGCCTTTTAGACATTTTATATTTAAAGCGAAAGTACCAGTGTAATTCAACGTTATTCCCAAATAATTGAAATCATCAACAATTTCTAACTGTTCATCATTATAAATGAAATGTTCATTTCTTTTAACTGGCCCTCGTTTCCTAAAAACAACAACTTTGGTTTTTGCAGTGTTTACCTCTAACCCCCATTTTTCACAATATTCGCGTAAAGAATTCAGTCTCGATTGTAAATCTTCTACAGAATCGCCACATATTACCATATCATCCGCAAATAACAAAATTACAAGACAAATTTCATTAATGGTTAGGCCAGTTGTATTATCTTGCTGCAAAAACGATTCGATGTCTTCAATAAATAAGGAAAAAAATGTCGGCGAATTTGTCTGCCCCTGACGTAAGCCCACCGCGATTTCAACAAAATCAGAAAATTCATTATTAAATTTTATACTAGACTTTACAATATTGTACATGTTTCTAAACATTGTTAAAATTATGTATCTATTAACTGTCAAATTTATGATTGGTTTTGTTCCATGCTTATACTATTTAGTTGAAATAGCGCTTTTGTTTGTGTTATTTATGTTGTTGTTTGTTTTCTTGCTGCGTAAATATGTGAAATGCATTTTTTGACAAAACAAAATACGCTTTTCATTTCATACATTTTTCATTTACATAAGTTCATTTATATATTAGATACGTTTATGTATTTATAAACTTTTTTCTTTTACAGTACAAATATATTTATATTGATGTGTCCATGTAGTATAATTCAGTCATACAGGTTATATCGATATATTTTGCCATAAAAAATGTGATTTTAAGAATAAAGTGCTCACAATTTTATTTTTAATTTTTGACTTTTCCTGCCATTAAGAGTAATTTTGTAATTTCTAAATAAAGCCAAGTGAACATAATCTGTAACTACATGTCTATCACTAAATTCAAGTCATTTTCATCTGCATGTGATAATAGTGCGAGTTTTGTTGTTCTGTGGGCACCTGTGTGTATTTGTATTGTTGTTGTTTTTTTTTTTTAATTTTTATCATTATTTATTTATTTATTTGCTGTTTTCTTTAAAGAAGGGTGTTGTTTTTGTTGCTGTTGTTTTTTCTCTTTGTTTTTGTTTTGCGGGAGGGTTGCAGGGGCAAAATATGACAGCTGTAGTTTAAGTTTTAACACTTAACTTCATGTCATAACCGATCTTTACTTTCCAGTATCTCAGATTGGTATGTTTATCACATAATATAAGAATAAAATACTTTTGTAAAGAATTCTTTTAAATGAGATTGGCTATGTTTAATCAATTTTAATGTAAGTAATGCATTGGGT